GTTTCCTATATGACCTTCTTGAGGTCGTCTGGTCTCATGTCACTGTCTTCCCGTGAGTCTGTTTATGTCAATGAATTGGAAAGCTTTATTCCTGAAGTACGTGTGATTATACATTTCCCGGTAAAATCTCGGTATCGGGTGTTGACATATCATCGGCACGCACGTGTACTATTGTTTACCAGGGGCCTGTTCGTTTATGCGGAACAACCGGTTTGACCGTTTATAAATGTAACAATTTTGGGTATAAATCCTGGCGGACCTGCAAATGTGTATGCAAGCCTTGCAAGGCTTTCTCAAGGCTCGCATGAAAGCAGCATCAGATTACTAGGTCCTTCCTTATTTAATAAACGAACAACAGTGGTCCGATCGGTTTGACCGTTTAAACGCAAACAGCCCAGGTGTTATTATAATTTGCACTACGATATTGAATGCCCGATACGCAATACGGAAATGACAACACGGTGTACATGCACATTTCGATCAAGATAATTGAGTCCGAGCTGTACTTTTTCCGGAAGTACGTCACAAAAATGGACGCTGATGACGATGTGTGGAGCCACCTTAATTGGCTCTCAAGCCCGATGCTCTACCGCTGAGCTAAAGGGAAATTCCTTACAGCTGACGCTTGAAAGGCAACCTAATTCATCTACATCTTTTACAATAGTATACAGTGCAGCACATTATATTTATGTAACCTCCATTATATGCTAGTTATTTCTTCTCCATACAGTATAGCTACACCAACAATGGAGAATATTATCATAAGGGGGTAATAATCGACAGTGTTTTTATTTCCTAACAACCTTTAAAGCTTTTTGCCATTCCTGGTCTTTTCTTAATACATTTGGACTTCACCAATATTCAGCACATTAAAAATACTTCTGATACATTCCCATTTTATTTTTGTGATTTTGCCACACATCTCTGCCATTGATCAGCACACACAAGAGCTATTCAATTTTCAGCATTGTTAATTGTAATGTTTTACTAACACCTGATCTTTTCAAGTCTAACTAGGTTTTCAGCTTTAATTTGTCAATGTTACAGAAGAAAACTCTTCGGTTTGTATTGCTCCGTTTCAGGCTGCTTTCAGAGAAAACTGGGATGTTTTTTTCAATGCATATGTTATGTTTGCCTGGCCATCTGTCAGGATTGGTTTCCATGCAATTCAATAACTTCCCTGTCTGCTAAGGATTCTCTGTCCTGTTGGAGTTAGTTTGTCTACATCAAATCACATCAATTTACAAGAGATGATACATGTAGGGGATATATAGATATTCTATGCAGTGTTAACACTATGTTGACTTGAAAAGAAGAATAGCCAGCTGTTGAATGTTCACATGCCATAATGTTGACCTATATGTATTCTGAAAAAATAGCTGGTTTAAATTTGATGAATAGCAGCTACCTTTGCCAGCAACCGGCTTTTAATAAGTTTGCATTTTCATATTAGGCTTTACCAACTTCTGTATAATGAAGGTGTTTTAGAGATGGAGGTAAATGTTGTATCTATTTGTTATTACAGGGAGGTGGAAGTAGACACACGTTTAAACCGTCTTTCTTTAGGAAGTGGAGTGACAAGGATACAGAGCAGTACAGACTGGGATACCCTGTAAGTAACAAAGCTGGATACTTTAGCCCATGCCCCATTTCCCTGGAACCGAAGCTGAGTAGTAAACTTAGTTCTGTTGATTCTCATTAAGGAAACTGTCCCACCTTGTTAGCTCACCTGGCCCGGAGGGCCAAGTGAGCTTATGCCATGGTGCGGCGTCTGTCGTCCGTCCGGTGTCTGTCTGGCATCAATTTTTTGCTTTAAACACCTTCTGCTGAATAACCAAGAGGCCCAGGCTGATGATATTTGGCCAGTAGCATGCTGGGGTGAAGGGCTACCAAGTTTGTACAAATGAATGGCCTTTGCCCATTTTCAAGGGCACAGGGGACAAATATGTTAAAATCTTTAAACAACTTTTTCTGAATAACCAGAAGGCCCAGTATGATGATATTTGGCCAATAACATGCTGGGATGAAGAATTACTAAGTTTTTTCAAATGAATGACCTTTGCCCATATTCAAGGTCACTGGAGGGTCAAATATGTTTAAACTTTTAAACAACTTCTTCTAAATAACAAAGAGGCCTAGGGTGTTGCTATTTGGCCAGTATTATGCTTGGATAAAGGGCTACCAAATTTGTTCAAATGAATGACCTTCGCCCATATTCAAGGTCACAGGGGTCAAATATGTTGAAATCTCTAAACAACTTCTTCTGAATAACTAAAAGCTCCAGGGTGATGATATTTGGCCAGTAGCATGCGGGGATGAAGGGCTACCAAGTATGTTCAAATGAATGACATTTGCCCATTTTCAAGGTTACAAGGGTCAAATATGTTAATATCTTTAAACAACTTCTTCTGAATAACCAGAAGGCCTAGGATGATGATATTTAACCAGAAGCACGCAGGGATAAAGGACTATCAATTTTTTCAAAGGAATGACCTTCGCCCATATACAAGCTCACAGGGGTTATTTGTCTTAAAAACACTATAAAACGACTTTTTCAAAATAACCGAAAGCTCCAGGGTGATGATATTTGGCCAGAAACATGCTGGGATGAAGGCCCCTGGGCTACCAAGTTTGTTCAAATGAATGACCTTCGCCCATATTCAAGGTCATGGGGTCAATTGTCTTAAAAAACCTTAAAAAATAACTTCTTCTGAATAACCAAAAGCTCCAGGGTGATGATATTTGGTCAATAGCATGCAGGGATGAAGGGCTACCAAGTTTGTTCACATGAATGACCTTCACCAATATTCAAGGTCACAGGTGTCAATATTTTTAAAAACTTTAAGTCAAGACACTGATATTTTGCCTGTAGCTTTATTGTAGTCTACCTTTAAGGTTACAATTGTGAGACTCATACCAGGTGAGCGATGCAGGCTCTTGTTTATGTTTAAATTGGAGGATTATGTTGTTTTAATTTTTCCAAAATGTAGTACATAAATAATTTACAAATAATTCTTTCTTTTCTTGTTATATCATTTCAAAATCATTCTCTGGTGCTATATTGATTGTACACATTTACCATAAGCCTTTCCTCATTTCTGATGAGCTGTTAGTGTCTTGCTATGAAAAGTATTCTTGAATTAAAGAAAAAAAAACTAGAAATTTCACAGAACTTCTTTTGATGAAACAAGTTTTGTTTTTTGCAGGGGAAAAAGGACCATCCAAATCAGAAAGAAAATCTGCTGTTCTACACAGGCAAGATGCCATCTCACCCTGATGGTAGGTCATAATGACACCAGTTGTGTTGCAAATCAACATGCAATCTGTAGGTCAGAGTCACCATGGGTCACAGATCAACATCACAGTAGGTCAGAGTCATAATGGGTCACAAATCAACATGCAATATGTAGGCCAGAGTCACCATGGGTCACAAATCAACATCACAGTTGGTCAGAGTCATAATGGGTCACAAATCAACACCACAGTATGTCAGAGTCATAATAGGTCACAAATCAACACCACAGTAGGTCAGAGTCAACATGGGTCACAAACCAACATCACAGTAGGTCAGAGTCGCCATGGGTCACAAATCAACACCACAGTAGGTCAGAGTCACCATGGGTCACAAATCAACACCACAGTAGGCTAGAGTCACCATGGGTCACAAATTAACACTACAGTAGGTCAGAGTCACCATTGGTCACAAATCAACATCACAGTAGGTCAGAGTCACCACGGGTCACAAATGAACACCACAGTAGGCCAGAGTCACCAGGGGTCACAAATCAACACCACAGTAGGTCAGAGTCACCACGAGTCACAAATCAGCACCACAGTAGGTCAGAGTCACCATGGGTCACAAATCAACACCACAGTAGGACAGAGTCATAATGGGTAACAAATCAACATGCAATCTGTAGGCCAGAGTCACCATGGGTCGTAAATCAACACCACAGTAGGCTAGAGTCACCAGGGGTCACAAATCAACACCACAGTAGGTCAGAGTCACCATGGGTCACAAATCAACACCACAGTAGGTCAGGTCAGAGCCACCATGGGTCACAAATCAACACCACAGTAGGTCAGAGTCACCATGGGTCACAAATCAACCCCACAGTAGGTCAAGAGTCACCATGGGTCACAAATCAACCCCACAGTAGGTCAGAGTCACCATGGGTCACAAATCAACACCACAGTAGGTCAAGAGTCACCATGGGTCACAAATCAACCTCACCATAGGTCAGAGTCACCATGGGTCACAAATCAACAACACAGTAGGTCAGAGTCACCATGGGTCACAAATCAACACACTGACAATAGGTCAAGAGTCACCATGGGTCACAAATAAACCTCACCGTAGGTCAGAGTCACCATGGGTCACAAATCAACAACACAGTAGGTCAGAGTCACCATGGGTCACAAATCAGCACCACAGTAGGTCAGAGACACCACGGGTCACAAATCAACCTCACCGTAGGTCAGAGTTACCATGGGTCACAAATCAACACCACAGTAGGTCAGAGTCACCATGGGTCACAAATCAACACCACAGTATGTCAGAGTCACCATGGGTCACAAATCAACACCACAGTAGGTCAGGTCAGAGTCACCATGGGTCACAAATCAACACCACAGTAGGTCAGAGTCACCACGGGTCACAAATCAACACCACAGTAGGCCAGAGTCACCATGGGTCAACACACCGACGATAGGTCGAGGTCTAACATGTATTGTCACAAAACAACACACCAACAATAGGTCAAGGTCCAACATGTATTGTCACAAATCAACATACTGACGATAGGTCAAGGTCTAACATGTAGGGTCACAAATCAACACATCGACAATAGGTAAAGGTCTAACATGTATTGTCACAAATCAACACCACAGTAGGGCAGAGGCACCATGGGTCACAAATCAACACCACAGTAGGCCATAGTCACCATGGGTCAACACACCGACGATAGGTCGAGGTCTAACATGTATTGTCACAAATCAACACACTGACAATAGGTCAAGGTCTAACATGTATTATTACAAATCAACACACTGACGATAGGTCAAGGTCTAACATGTATTGTCACAAAACAACACACCAACAATAGGTCAAGGTCTAACATGTAGTGGCACAAATCAACACACCAATGGCAGGTCAATGTCTAACATGTAGTGTCACAAATCAACACATCGACAATAGGTCAAGGTCTTACATGTATTGTTACAAACCAACACACTGACAATAGGTCGAGGTCTAACATGTATTGTCACAAATCAACACATCGACAATAGGTCAAGGTCTTACATGTATTGTCACAAATTATCACACTGACAATAGGTCAAGGTCTAACATGTAGTGTCACAAATCAACACACTGACGATAGGTCAAGGTCTAACATGTAGTGTCACAAATCAACATCATGAAGGTTGGCCAAAGTCAAACTTCTACAGATTACAGCATTTAATAATCCTTTTTTTTTCTTTCTTTTTAGCTCAAACAATCTCTTCAAATGTACATTATGTTAAATTCTTGTTTGCAATACATTTGTGATGTCAGTTTCTGTACTATGACAACATAAAAACATGATATTAATTAAGTTACATAAAGTGACATGATCATACTTGTAATGCACTGTATCGTAAACAAGTTAGCGTATGTGAGGTTATTTATGTTGTATGCGATGACTTATTATCATTTAAGGTTTAATTATCAAGAAAGATGAAATGGACACAAAACAAATAGCTATTTAAATGAGAGGTTATTTTCAGAAGTCCAGAGTGTGAACGTTGCTTAATCAAACAATAATTCTAAATGATGATGTTTTGTTATGAATGAAGAACTGTTTTATTCACAGGCGATTATATAGATAATATCCATGAGAACTGGTGGGGAGATTATCGGCTTCTGGAATCACACCATGGCTACATACAGTGGTACGTATAGACCATTATACAATCTACAAATAACCATGTCAACATAAATTGGTTCATTCATGACATTTTTTAATTTACAAATATTCAGAATAAAATAAATGTCATCTGTTTATATCATTATCCTAAATGTTTTTCTGAATATAAAGATAAACACTATTAATAAAATATTCGATCACTTTGCTACTTGTCAAGTCCTTTTTGTACATCCTAACCATTGGAATGTGAATTTTATAAAAGTTTCAGGACACTTGCCTGAGACATTACTACCGGTATACTGCCTGCCTGGGATATTGCTATACTGCCTGACAGAAACATTAATATACTGCTTGACTGATACATTACTATACTGCTCGCCTGAGACATTACTATACTGCTAACCTGACACATTACTAGACTGCTTGCCTGAGATATTGCTATACCGTCTGACTGAGACATTACTATACTGCCTGTCAGAAACATTAATAAACTGCCTGACTGAGACATTACTATACTGCCTGACTGAGACATTACTATACTGCCTGACTGAGACATTACTATACTGCCTGACTGAGACATTACTATACTGCCTGACTGAGACATTACTATACTGCCTGACTGAGACATTACTATACTGCCTGACTGAGACATTACTATACTGCCTGACTGAGACATTACTATACTGCCTGACTGAGACATTACTATACTGCCTGACTGAGACATTACTATACTGCCTGACTGAGACATTACTATACTGCCTGACTGAGACATTACTATACTGCCTGACTGAGACATTACTATACTGCCTGACTGAGACATTACTATACTGCCTGACTGAGACATTACTATACTGCCTGACTGAGACATTACTATACTGCCTGACTGAGACATTACTATACTGCCTGACTGAGACATTACTATACTGCCTGACTGAGACATTACTATACTGCCTGACTGAGACATTACTATACTGCCTGACTGAGACATTACTATACTGCCTGACTGAGACATTACTATACTGCCTGACTGAGACATTACTATACTGCCTGACTGAGACATTACTATACTGCCTGACTGAGACATTACTATACTGCCTGACTGAGACATTACTATACTGCCTGACTGAGACATTACTATACTGCCTGACTGAGACATTACTATACTGCCTGACTGAGACATTACTATACTGCCTGACTGAGACATTACTATACTGCCTGACTGAGACATTACTATACTGCCTGACTGAGACATTACTATACTGCCTGACTGAGACATTACTATACTGCCTGACTGAGACATTACTATACTGCCTGACTGAGACATTACTATACTGCCTGACTGAGACATTACTATACTGCCTGACTGAGACATTACTATACTGCCTGACTGAGACATTACTATACTGCCTGACTGAGACATTACTATACTGCCTGACTGAGACATTACTATACTGCCTGACTGAGACATTACTATACTGCCTGACTGAGACATTACTATACTGCCTGACTGAGACATTACTATACTGCCTGACTGAGACATTACTATACTGCCTGACTGAGACATTACTATACTGCCTGACTGAGACATTACTATACTGCCTGACTGAGACATTACTATACTGCCTGACTGAGACATTACTATACTGCCTGACTGAGACATTACTATACTGCCTGACTGAGACATTACTATACTGCCTGACTGAGACATTACTATACTGCCTGACTGAGACATTACTATACTGCCTGACTGAGACATTACTATACTGCCTGACTGAGACATTACTATACTGCCTGACTGAGACATTACTATACTGCCTGACTGAGACATTACTATACTGCCTGACTGAGACATTACTATACTGCCTGACTGAGACATTACTATACTGCCTGACTGAGACATTACTATACTGCCTGACTGAGACATTACTATACTGCCTGACTGAGACATTACTATACTGCCTGACTGAGACATTACTATACTGCCTGACTGAGACATTACTATACTGCCTGACTGAGACATTACTATACTGCCTGACTGAGACATTACTATACTGCCTGACTGAGACATTACTATACTGCCTGACTGAGACATTACTATACTGCCTGACTGAGACATTACTATACTGCCTGACTGAGACATTACTATACTGCCTGACTGAGACATTACTATACTGCCTGACTGAGACATTACTATACTGCCTGACTGAGACATTACTATACTGCCTGACTGAGACATTACTATACTGCCTGACTGAGACATTACTATACTGCCTGACTGAGACATTACTATACTGCCTGACTGAGACATTACTATACTGCCTGACTGAGACATTACTATACTGCCTGACTGAGACATTACTATACTGCCTGACTGAGACATTACTATACTGCCTGACTGAGACATTACTATACTGCCTGACTGAGACATTACTATACTGCCTGACTGAGACATTACTATACTGCCTGACTGAGACATTACTATACTGCCTGACTGAGACATTACTATACTGCCTGACTGAGACATTACTATACTGCCTGACTGAGACATTACTATACTGCCTGACTGAGACATTACTATACTGCCTGACTGAGACATTACTATACTGCCTGACTGAGACATTACTATACTGCCTGACTGAGACATTACTATACTGCCTGACTGAGACATTACTATACTGCCTGACTGAGACATTACTATACTGCCTGACTGAGACATTACTATACTGCCTGACTGAGACATTACTATACTGCCTGACTGAGACATTACTATACTGCCTGACTGAGACATTACTATACTGCCTGACTGAGACATTACTATACTGCCTGACTGAGACATTACTATACTGCCTGACTGAGACATTACTATACTGCCTGACTGAGACATTACTATACTGCCTGACTGAGACATTACTATACTGCCTGACTGAGACATTACTATACTGCCTGACTGAGACATTACTATACTGCCTGACTGAGACATTACTATACTGCCTGACTGAGACATTACTATACTGCCTGACTGAGACATTACTATACTGCCTGACTGAGACATTACTATACTGCCTGACTGAGACATTACTATACTGCCTGACTGAGACATTACTATACTGCCTGACTGAGACATTACTATACTGCCTGACTGAGACATTACTATACTGCCTGACTGAGACATTACTATACTGCCTGACTGAGACATTACTATACTGCCTGACTGAGACATTACTATACTGCCTGACTGAGACATTACTATACTGCCTGACTGAGACATTACTATACTGCCTGACTGAGACATTACTATACTGCCTGACTGAGACATTACTATACTGCCTGACTGAGACATTACTATACTGCCTGACTGAGACATTACTATACTGCCTGACTGAGACATTACTATACTGCCTGACTGAGACATTACTATACTGCCTGACTGAGACATTACTATACTGCCTGACTGAGACATTACTATACTGCCTGACTGAGACATTACTATACTGCCTGACTGAGACATTACTATACTGCCTGACTGAGACATTACTATACTGCCTGACTGAGACATTACTATACTGCCTGACTGAGACATTACTATACTGCCTGACTGAGACATTACTATACTGCCTGACTGAGACATTACTATACTGCCTGACTGAGACATTACTATACTGCCTGACTGAGACATTACTATACTGCCTGACTGAGACATTACTATACTGCCTGACTGAGACATTACTATACTGCCTGACTGAGACATTACTATACTGCCTGACTGAGACATTACTATACTGCCTGACTGAGACATTACTATACTGCCTGACTGAGACATTACTATACTGCCTGACTGAGACATTACTATACTGCCTGACTGAGACATTACTATACTGCCTGACTGAGACATTACTATACTGCCTGACTGAGACATTACTATACTGCCTGACTGAGACATTACTATACTGCCTGACTGAGACATTACTATACTGCCTGACTGAGACATTACTATACTGCCTGACTGAGACATTACTATACTGCCTGACTGAGACATTACTATACTGCCTGACTGAGACATTACTATACTGCCTGACTGAGACATTACTATACTGCCTGACTGAGACATTACTATACTGCCTGACTGAGACATTACTATACTGCCTGACTGAGACATTACTATACTGCCTGACTGAGACATTACTATACTGCCTGACTGAGACATTACTATACTGCCTGACTGAGACATTACTATACTGCCTGACTGAGACATTACTATACTGCCTGACTGAGACATTACTATACTGCCTGACTGAGACATTACTATACTGCCTGACTGAGACATTACTATACTGCCTGACTGAGACATTACTATACTGCCTGACTGAGACATTACTATACTGCCTGACTGAGACATTACTATACTGCCTGACTGAGACATTACTATACTGCCTGACTGAGACATTACTATACTGCCTGACTGAGACATTACTATACTGCCTGACTGAGACATTACTATACTGCCTGACTGAGACATTACTATACTGCCTGACTGAGACATTACTATACTGCCTGACTGAGACATTACTATACTGCCTGACTGAGACATTACTATACTGCCTGACTGAGACATTACTATACTGCCTGACTGAGACATTACTATACTGCCTGACTGAGACATTACTATACTGCCTGACTGAGACATTACTATACTGCCTGACTGAGACATTACTATACTGCCTGACTGAGACATTACTATACTGCCTGACTGAGACATTACTATACTGCCTGACTGAGACATTACTATACTGCCTGACTGAGACATTACTATACTGCCTGACTGAGACATTACTATACTGCCTGACTGAGACATTACTATACTGCCTGACTGAGACATTACTATACTGCCTGACTGAGACATTACTATACTGCCTGACTGAGACATTACTATACTGCCTGACTGAGACATTACTATACTGCCTGACTGAGACATTACTATACTGCCTGACTGAGACATTACTATACTGCCTGACTGAGACATTACTATACTGTCTGACTGAGACATTACTATACTGCCTGACAGGGACATTACTATACTGCCTGACTGAGACATTTCTATGCTGCCTGACTGAGACATTACTATACTGCTTGACTGATACATTACTATACTGCCTGCCTGATACATTACTATACTGCCTGACTGAGACATTTCTATACTGCCTGACTGAGACATTACTATACTGCCTGACAGGGACATTACTATACTGCCTGACTGAGACATTTCTATGCTGCCTGACTGAGACATTNGGACTTGAATATACTGGCTACCTGGGACATTTATATACTGCTTTATATATTACTTTAACTGTCTGAGTCTTTCTTGTGTGAAACTTTCGAAATTTTGAATCAGAGTGTCTGTGCTATCAACTCCAGTGTAAGACATAGTTTTATGAGATATATATACCTCTCATTGTTTTACCAGAGCTTAAATTGTTTGAGTAGGACTTAATTCTTGGTTGTTTAAGTTTAAGTACATGGGAAGGGAAGTAACTCTAGTTTATGTTTGCTCTTAGGTTGTTTCCCATCAGAGAGTCTGGTATGAACTTTTATTCACAAGAACTACAACTCCATGAAATTGAGGTAGGTGTAAGTCTGCTGATATACTACAGCAGACACATATGTGACTATTTTGTTCTTACAGACATGTAATACAGAATATAGTGGTAAAATCTAGTGGTCAGGGGTTAACTTTTAAAGCAAGTAATTAGGAATCTTTTTAGTCAGAAATCTACTTAGTCTGGAACTGCCATGTTAAAAGAGCTGGTGTCTTATTCAGTCAGGAATGCAGCTAATAGTTATCTTATTAGTTAGTATAACCTAGTCAATTAGTCAGGAATCTTTAAGTCAAGACCCTCTTTTAATTAGTCTTGCACCAACTTTGCTAGGAACATCTTTGTTTAGTCTGGAGCCTAATTAATTAGTTTGGAACTCTTTAGTTAGTCTGGAACCTAGTTTGTTAGAAAACTATTTAGTAAGTCTGGAACCTAGTTTGTTAGGAAACTCTTTAGTAAGTCTGGAACNGCTGCCTGACTGAGAAATTACTATACTGCCTGACTGAGACATTACTATACTGCCTGACTGAGACATTACTATACTGCCTGACTGAGACATTACTATACTGCCTGACTGAGACATTACTATACTGGCTGCCTGGGACTTGAATATACTGGCTACCTGGGACATTTATATACTGCTTTATATATTACTTTAACTGTCTGAGTCTTTCTTGTGTGAAACTTTCGAAATTTTGAATCAGAGTGTCTGTGCTATCAACTCCAGTGTAAGACATAGTTTTATGAGATATATATACCTCTCATTGTTTTACCAGAGCTTAAATTGTTTGAGTAGGACTTAATTCTTGGTTGTTTAAGTTTAAGTACATGGGAAGGGAAGTAACTCTAGTTTATGTTTGCTCTTAGGTTGTTTCCCATCAGAGAGTCTGGTATGAACTTTTATTCACAAGAACTACAACTCCATGAAATTGAGGTAGGTGTAAGTCTGCTGATATACTACAGCAGACACATATGTGACTATTTTGTTCTTACAGACATGTAATACAGAATATAGTGGTAAAATCTAGTGGTCAGGGGTTAACTTTTAAAGCAAGTAATTAGGAATCTTTTTAGTCAGAAATCTACTTAGTCTGGAACTGCCATGTTAAAAGAGCTGGTGTCTTATTCAGTCAGGAATGCAGCTAATAGTTATCTTATTAGTTAGTATAACCTAGTCAATTAGTCAGGAATCTTTAAGTCAAGACCCTCTTTTAATTAGTCTTGCACCAACTTTGCTAGGAACATCTTTGTTTAGTCTGGAGCCTAATTAATTAGTTTGGAACTCTTTAGTTAGTCTGGAACCTAGTTTGTTAGAAAACTATTTAGTAAGTCTGGAACCTAGTTTGTTAGGAAACTCTTTAGTAAGTCTGGAACCTAGTTTGTTAGGAAACTCTTCAGTAAGTCTGAAACCTACTTTGTTAGGAAACTCTTCAGTTAGTCTGGAACCTAGTTTGTTAGGAAACTCTTTAGTAAGTCTGGAACCTAGTTTGTTAGGAAACTCTTTAGTAAGTCTGGAACCTCCTAGTGTGTTAGGAAACTCTTTAGTAAGTCTGGGTCCTAGTTTGTTAGGAACTCTTGAGTTAGTCTGGAACCTAGTTTGTTAGGAAACTATTCAGTTAGTCTGGAACCAAGTTTGTTAGGAAACTCTTTAGTAAGTCTGGAACCTAGTTTGTTAGGAAACTCTTTAGTTAGTCTGGAACCTAGTTTGTTATGAAGCTCTTTAGTGAGTCTGGAACCTAGTTTGTTAGGAAGCTCTTTAATGAGTCTGGAACCTAGTTTGTTAGGAAGCTCTTCAGTAAGTCTGGAACCTAGTATGCTAGGAAGCTCTTCAGTTAGTCTGGAATCTATAGTTTGTTAGGAAACTCTTCAGTTCGTCTGGAACTTAGTTTGTTAGGAAACTCTTCAGTTAGCCTGGAACCTAGTTTGTTAGGAAGCTCTACAGTTAGCCTGGAACCTAGTTTGTTGGGAAACTCTTCAGTTAGCCTGGAACCTAGTTTGTTAGGAAACTCTACAGTTAGCCTGGAACCTAGTTTGTTGGGAAACTCTTCAGTTAGCCTGGAACCTAGTTTGTTAGAAAACTCTTCAGTTAGCCTTAAACCTAGTTTGTTAGGAAGCTCTTTAGAGAGTCTGGAACCTAGTTTGTTAGGAAACTCTTCAGTAAGTCTGGAACCTAGTTTGTTAGGAAGCTCTTTAGTGAGTCTGGAACATTCTATGTTAGTTGAAAATCACTAGATGGTCTGGAACCTCCTGAAATAGTTAAGATTCTACTTGTTAGCCAGGAACCTTGTAAGTTAGTCAGGGACCTAGCCTGTTATTCAGGAAGTGCTTTAGTTAGTTTGAAACTGCCTTTGGTAGTTAGAACCTCCTCAGATAGTCTGGAACATCCATAGTTAGTCTGAAACCTTGTAAGTTATGACAGGAACCTTGGGACTAGTTAGTTAGGAACCTCCTTAGTTAGGAACCTCCTTTATCAAAAACATCTTTAGTAAGAAACCTCTTAAGTGGGGAACCTCCTTAGTCAGAAACCTTCTTATTCAGAAACCTCCTTATTGAGAAATTTCATTAGTCAGAAAATTCCTTAATTAGGAACTGCTCTAGTCATTGCTTATGGAGTCAGAAATCTCATTTGTTAGTAAGGAACCTCCTTAATCAGAAACCTCCAAATGACATTTTGGTTTACAGAAAAAATGGTGTGAAAAACAACACAAATGAATGAAATTAGAAAAATACAAGATCACAGATAGACGTGGATAGAGAAATTATTTCTAATAGTTTTTGTTTCTGTACCAAAATTGAATACTCAAATCCAGTTTATAAATTTCATTTACACAGGTACACCAAAACTGTAACACTCTAGGACTCTTTCATAGGTTACACAATTTTTGACTCAAAAGGGAGGATAAACTAGCTCCCTGTCGAGAGCCCCCTGTGGAGAGCTCCCTGTGGAGAGCTCCCTGTGGAGAGCTCCCTGTGGAGAGCTCAGTGGTTTACATTTTATTTACCTTGCTGTTACAATTATTTCAAGACAGCATATTTGAACCTTGTGATTGCTGCAATATGATTAGTGCACCAACTAGTACTGTTCATTAATATATGTATTATAAATACAAGTAATACTCATGAAATCAGATGGAGTGTTTTGCCATATTCTATATTCATTTTGCCGCTGTTTATATTGAAATTGAAAGGTTTTTATTCAAAAGGTGATCCACCAAATCACCAAAACATCAAAAAAACAATTTCAGCAGAAAGAATTCATTATCAATTCTTCAAAGTCATAGATTAGTTTGTATATAAATAAATGAATGGACGAGGTTTTCAGACATATTGTTTTAATAATCAGAAAATGAAGGAAGATAAGAAAGCCCTGGCTCGTGTGCTGAAGTCGTACAGGTTGATGCTGGACTTCTATGGTATGGAGCTGGAGAATGAGGAAACAGGACAAATTAAACGTGGTGAACACTGGAGGTCACAGTTCCGTAATCTCAACAGGTAACTATAGCAAACACACTTACCACAGGTAACTATAGCAACTACACTTACCATAGGTTACTATAGCAACTACACTTACCACAGGTTACTATAGCAAACACACTTACCACAGGTTACTATAGCAAACACACTTACCACAGATTACTATAGCAAACCCACTTACCACAGGTTACTATAGCAAACACACTCACCACAGGTTACTATAGCAACTACACTTACCATAGGTTACTATAGCAAACACACTTACCACAGGTAAATATAGCAAACACACTTATGACAAGTTACTATAGCAAACACGCTTACCACAGGTTACTATAGCAAACACACTTACCACAGGTAAATATAGCAAACACGCTTACCACAGGTTACTATAGCAAACACACTTACCACAGGTTACTATAGCAAACCCACTTACCAAAGGTTACTATAGCAAACCCACTTACCACAGGTTACTATAGCAAACCCACTTACCACAGGTTACTACATGTATAGCAAACACACTTATCACAGGTTACTATAGCATAACACTTACCACAGGTAAATATAGCAAACACACTTACCACAGGTTACTATAGCAAAACACTTACCACAGGTAAATATAGCAAACACACCTACCACAGGTAAATATAGCAAACACACTTACCACAGGTTACTATAGCAAACACACTTACCGCAGGTAAATATAGCAAACACACTTACTGCAGGTTACTATGACAAATACACTTACCACAGAAAAATATAGCAAATACACTTACAACAGGTAAATATAGCAAATACACTTACCACAGGTAAATATAACAAACACTTACCACATTCATGTAACTATAGCAAACACACTTACCACAGGTAAATACAACAAATATACTTACCACAGGTGAATATAGCAAATATACTTACCACAGGTAACTATAGCAAACACACTTACCACAGGTAAATATAGCAAACACACTTACCACAGGTTAATATAGCAGACTCACTGAGGCGTAGAATTTCTCAGGCTTATGTTTTATAGAAAATACATTGACTTCTGTTTTTGGAGAAAATCATTTTTTTCTTCACTGTCCTAATTGTCTCCTAAGGAATGTTTCTAAAATGAAACTTTATCAAATGGGAATGGTAAGTCTGTAATTCCAGAGGTAAAGGTCCAATCTCTGTAACAGAACTTCCATTTTAATGGTTATATCCCTTCTGTTACAGCAAATAAATTGGAGCAAATGTATCAGTTAAAAAAATTGAATGTCCAGCTATTCCTCAAAAAAATGTATGGATGCGGTTGATGGAAAATCACATGAAATTGTTTTTAAAACTTTCATAAAATTTCTGAATTATAGAGTGTTACCCAATCATAGCACTGGTGTACCTTCCACTTGGATCATTACAACATTCCCTAAGGAATAAGAGTTGCCTCCCTTCAAACACTGTTGAAGTTATAATGGTTTTGAGAAAAGTGGTATGTACAACATCAATTCATAAGCATAATACTCTTTATTGGGCAGACTTTCTGTTTACTGAGAACAGATTTCCTACAGTTTGGTCATTTCAATGACACCTATGTGGGGCAGTCCAGTCGTCAGGTACTGGTTGGTCGGTGGTTTTTCCCCGGGAACTCCGGCTTTCCTCCACCATAAAAACCTGGCAAGTCCTTAAATGACCATAGCTGTTAATACGACGTAAAACACAAACAAACCAAACCAAACCAAATCATTTCAATGTGCCAAATGGCAGTAGGTAGTAATTTCCCTTACACCATGGAATGAGTATGGATGGTGTAGGGGTTTCGCCGGTAGATCTTGACATGAACAAATGTGGAAATTGTAGGTTTCAATAGTTGTCTTATCTAGACATGAACGAGTAACAGCTAGGTAAGGGATACATGGCTGTTTAATGAAGATTTAATTTATATACATCCAGAGCTTTGTGAATATTCTATCATTATTAAGACATCAAGCTAATAATAGGTCTTGAATGACTGGGAACTTCTATATTTCACATAGAGATCTGTTTTGTCAGTATTTAGTATACCATTGTCATGCATCGCCCGTCTGATCATGCACAGACAGTTGTTGTTTGACTTCTCCTCAGAAACTGTTTGTGAGATTTTGATTAATCTTTGAGGTAATCATCAGCCTGAAGTGGGAATCAGAAGATATACTTAAGAAGTTGCTGACCCCCAACGGGGATGAGGGGGAGGGTCATATGAGGTCATGGAGTACAAAACATTTGAATGACATCTCCTCTGAAATTAACAAGTGAATTTTCAACATCATTCCTAAGATGTTGAGGATTCAAATTTATACTCCGGAAGGGGTTTACCCGCTAGGTGGGCTCGGGGGCTGGTTAATTTATAATGATAAGTGAATAGCCTTCAAACGCTATCTCCAGTGAACATTTCTGTTAGATTTAAACGAAACTTTCGTGAAATCTTTCTTTGGTCATTATGACCCACATTAGGGGACACTCATTTCCCCTTTGGGTTTTTATTCATTCCAAGTTAGATCTTATTAAACATTATGTGTATCATTCTAATTTGAATTCACTCAGGTTACAATTAAGGTCCATGAGCCTGTTGTTTGAAAGCTCAGCTGTCTTTATGTACTACTGGTGTGGTATTGGTGAGGGAATATTCTTAATGATCCAGGGAGCTGTCTTTATGTACTACTGGTGTGGTATTGCTGAGGGAATATTCTTAATGATCCAGGGAGCTGTTGCCTTCAGACTCATGAAATCGGACAGTTATTACATCATGTAACTGGACATTTAAAAAAAAATTATCATACACAATTTAGCAATCATTTAAGTCTCATGCTCCTTTAAAAAACACCTGAATAGTAAATTTGAATTTTAAGTGTTTGTTGACATGGCTTTAGATATGGCCTGTGTGGTAGTACATTGTTGATCTACCTGTAATCTTGATTACGTACCTGTACAGGTAAATAGGTTTTACTGCCCTACCACGGCAGTATCTACATCCGCGTACCTACAACAAACCTCACAAACTGATAGAGATATTTTTAAAATCAACTTTGTGCAAAGTCCAAATAAATTAAGGAATTTACGGCCGCTGTTGTAATGGACAAATTGTTTTATACAATTGATTTTGTAAGCCACTTTAACCCCTGTGTAAGCCATACTGGTGCTTTTTTCACCTGTTAAGATAGCACAGCTTTCAAAATGACTCCCGGATAGGCAGTAGAAAGATTGGCTTCCATACAAACGCTAATCTGACCTGGACTGACACAGCGTTAAATCACTATTGCGTACATCAATATTTTAGGATAATATCTCTTTTATGATGGACATTTGTGAAATATTTTCACAGCAGGTGTTAAGAACGTATGATTTTATGATAATTTGTGATAAGAAGATGATTATAAAAATCAAATCTAAATTCTGCAGGCTTGTGAACATTCCTGTAGTGTGGAAAAGCTGCTTGTCATGTATTGATACCTGTTATTACTAAATATCAGCTGGTATCATCCTAGTCTGTTGTAGAGTAAAAGACTCTGTCAGGGGATATCTGTCGTGTATCAATACCTGATGTTACCAAATTTCACCTGTGATCGTCCTAGTCTGTTGTAGAGTAAAAGAGCTCTCAGTCAGGGGCTCTATGTCGTGTATCGATACCTGATGTTACCAAATTTCACCTGTGATCGTCCTAGTCTGTTGTAGAGTATAAAAGGGCTCTCAGCCAGGGGCTCTATGTCGTGTATCGATACCTGATGTTACCAAATTTCACCTGTGATCATCCTAGTCTGTTGTAGAGTATAAAAGGGCTCTCAGCCAGGGGCTCTATGTCACATATCAATATGTGTTTTACATTTTTGATGTACAGCCTCTCAATAAACCTACCAACTCAAAATGTTGCTATCAAATGAAAACATTGAGACTTGTTGAATGTGAATATCTTCCATTCTGAGTTTGAGTCTTTCCATCTTACTGTTAGAGAGATTTGGTAATCAATCAGATTTGGATGTCCATTTCAAATTTTGACTGAAATTCTTGACTAATTTCAGAAAAAGTAAAACAGGTGATATATATTATCTCAGAAAGATAAAATCAAATGTTTCTTGTTGTGTATACTTTATACAAGGAATGAAACGCACCCTGAAATACTCATCCTAGTGGTGAACCGTACCATATAGTGTCATTACGACCACCACCAGCTACGGTAAGGTTCACCGTGGTATAACACGATATGTGCCGTTTCTACTACAATTTCATTAAGATGACAGCTAGTACAGCAATTCACAGTTGCTCCTGTATTTCCAAGGTGTGGCGCGGTTACACTACCACTATAGTATGGCGGTGCTACGTTCGCTGTACGTTTGCTGTACGGCAGTGACGGCAGGATTAAGCTTGGTCACAGTTCCGGGTCAGGGTGCTATAAATAGGGGACAAAATCTGTTCCACTTCGCATGATACTTCAGTCTTGGAAATGGTCACATCATAGACGTTAATTGTCATCAACAACAAAAGAAACAGATCGACCTCCTACTCCTCAGTGAGAACAGTTGGGTGATATTATCTTTGTTTGGGAAGGGGAGCTAACTCCTGGGTGGCCTCGACTCACTCCAACTGTTCAGAGGCTTCTTGAGGTGAAGGCTGTGGTGATGAATCACCTTCAGCAGAGGGAAAAGAACTTGGCTGGGCCTTCTTCTTACCAGCTAGCTGCTGTCTTCTTGGCAAATCTACATGGAGGCATGGTGACGCTGTGAAGTGGTTTGAGACTTGCCTCTGCTTTGGTCATTGGTAGAAAACTGATTTGGATCCAGAAAATTAGTCCCAATATATAGCCAACGGGGCATCACGTGACAACCTGTAGTGTTACTAGTGTTACCCTGGTGCAACTGGGGATGACTTAGCGCCACCTAAGCAAAACATAGCATAACCTTGGAAAACCAGGACAGACCGGGTACAGGGTATAACGTGGCCAATACCTTGACAGTGAAATATCTGTGTACAAGTAAAATACTCTTGTATCGTCCGACATATTTGTGTAC